GATATCTTCAAATTTATATTTTATTCAAAAATAAAATCATTATTGTTTTCTTTAAAACGCATAAAATCGTATTATAACATCGATAGAGACAAAGAATAAAATAGAACATTAAAATCAAGATGTGTCTCGCTGCATTGCGCAAATACTCTTCTAGTATATATATATGTGTATGTATGTATATATATATAATAATAAAATATAATATATTATTATTTGACATTGACATATGATGGACTTACATCAATTACATTTCCTGAGGCATTCAACACCCCCTATTTGGGGGTGCCATTAGCACTCCCCATTAATATACACTTTTATATGAATGGTTTTTATATTTACATTTTCAGTCCCTAGATCAAGATGAATAATCATGTGAGAAGGGAAGTTATTATCGAGGTCGATCCAATGATTTTGGATGTCTTGTGCGGAAAGCCAAAAAGATGTCCCTACTCCAATAAAACCAAGGACTCAAGAAGACACAAATCTTTAAGGGGTTTGCAATCTAGCCAAGTTAGCCGGCTCATCTCCACGCCGGTTATTATAGGAGAAAAAAAAAGTTATAACAGGCGACATAAACCAAAACCCCAAATCATCATAAAAAAAAGTGTCTATGTGCACTTCGTGAAGCAAAATCTTCAATTTATCTATCATAGTCAACATTTGCTAAAAACTTACTTTCGATGCTCAAAAAACTTGCAGGTTATGGGCAGATGTAAAATACTATCATACTAAGATCGTAAGAACATTATTGATAGCATAAAAGTTGCTAGACTGTATTAGTAGATGTTATAATTATACCTAAACTGTAATCAGTTTTTGATATAGAATTTCATCACTACATGATGCAATATTGCAACCTGTTTTCTTTTATACTTAATGGAACATGATGCAATTTATTTCAGCTGTTCTTGCATGATCCATTCAGTTTCACACTTACAAATGGACTCACATTCCATAAGGTTAATTTCAATTTTTACACTTACATGAACAATTGAATATGATGCAACCTGTTTCATAATCCTTTAATCCCTTGTCTTCTATCAAACAACTAGAATTCTAGAAACCAACCATGAATCATCGGTTAATACTTTGCATTCTAATCAGTTCCATAGGGAGAAAAATCAGGACGACATGACCAATTTGAAGCATTATCTTGAATTACCTACCATTCTACCGATATGGTTTTACATCGAGAAATGGTAAGTTCTAAAGGTTACTGGTTAGCCTATTACTTTGCAAAAGACAAACACTCAACCAGAAATATTTCAATTCAAAGTTCCAATTAGGAAAGGGGATGACCGAAGAATACTTGAGACTGAGAGGGAGTGACGATTAGGGAAGGGGAAGACCGAAGATGGAGAGCCAGAGGGACGAGGAAGACGAGGACGGGCGTCGGACACTTAGACTGGAGTTTGGAGATTAGCCGTCGATTAGGGGAGATTGGATCTAGACCGATGAGGCGAGACTAGAGCCGAGGAGAGGACTATAATATAGCGGACAGGGCCTAGGATGATGTCCCTTGGGCTGATGATGCCTGGGCGATGGCCCATGTCGTCCATGCCCAGGGTCAGCCCTGATTTTATAGTGAAAAGTGTAAGAAAAAATCTGAACTCGAGGAGCATCTCTTCATCTTCATCTTATATTCACACCTTCATCGTTTAAGTTTGTGAATGTTGGTGGTGGTCATTGTTCACATCTTTATTTTTATATTATATTTGCTTGGTGAAGCATTGTCGGATGATGTTGCTTGGGGTTGACCGGGATTAAGATTGTGGGACGACGAGATCGAGAGGGAGGCAACATGGGTGGGGGAGAAAGATAAGATGGCGAGATCAGTGGGGTCCTTTAATAATATAATGATTTATTTATTTTTACTTTTTATAGGAAATTAAAGAAAATTTGTAAAAGTACCAAAATACACCTTACTTTGTGTATTTTATTGTTTGTTTGGAATACAAATTAAAATAAATTCTAATAAAGTATTCGATTTTTTAAAATTAATTTTATATTAAAAGTCCATATCATATTGCCACATCAACAAATGATATATATAGTTGTATGTCTATATAATTTGTCATATCAATATGTTAACCGATTAATGGTTAAAAAGGTCACCTAGGTACTTAAATGTTTGAAAATTTACATCTTAAATATCAAAACAGATGTTTTAAAAGTAGGATATACAAAATAAAAATAAGGACAAATTAGGTATTGTCCTTAATGAAAAACTTAAAGCCTACTAGGATAAGTAACCCCATCCATGAGTGATGTAATTTCTTTCCTATAAATGGAAAAAGTTTGAGTTGAAAAAGAACACATTTACGATTTATGTAATTTAGGGGCCGTTTACTAAACATTTATCCGGTAAATGTTTACCGTTAGAATTTAACACTATTATTTACTTATCGGGGTAAGATTTTAGTCCACAAAACGACATGGTATGCAATAATTTACCCGGTAAGCACTTACCGTGGTAAGACTCTTGGTTCTCGTCTCGCTCTTATCGGGTAAGATTCTTGGTCCTTACCATATTTATCCGATGAGGTAATGTTACTTGGTAAGCGCTTACCTAGATAAGAGTTCGGTAAACGGCCCCTTACTCTGATATTTATCTGTATCACTAAAGATCTCCATTATTTGGCAAAAATTTCTTATAATATAAAAATGACATGATTCGAAGCATGATAAATAATATGATTCGTTTTCATGTACCAAATGTAAGCCTAAATTCAGAGAGAAACTAAGAATATCAAAGAACTTACTTAAAATTGTTAGGTAGAAATGATCTTATATATATCTATAGTATATTATAAAACATTTGACAAAAACTCTTAAAAACCATTTTTTATGCGTAAAATACTGTTTATTAATGCATGATACTTAAAACTCAAGATTGCAAGTAGATTATGCATAAGTACAACTTATTAAAGTTTCATATATGAATTCGTTTAACTAACTGCAGATAAACAAAATTAAATACATGATAAACATCTCATTTTAAATATAAAAAATCTAAAATATAATTAAGATAATCATTGAGTTCTAACAGAATACTTAATTATTATCTTTATAAAATGTTACATTATTAAACCAAAAATAAATTATTTTGTTATTAAACTTAAATTAAATTATATTAAAAAAATTAAAGAAAGTACATAAAAACGAGAACTTTTAAATAGTTTATTTGATATTAACATTGATATTTTTTTTTTCAAATTTATATTTCATTCAAAAATAAAATCATTATTGTTTTATTAAAAACACATAAAATCGTATTATAATATCGACACAGACAAATAATAAAATAGAACATTAAAATCGAGACGTATCTCGTTGCATTACGCGAGTATTCTTCTAGTGATTAAAAATGTGTTCACAATCACAGACTTAATAAGAATATTCCCTCTAGTTTTTAATGGAAATCGACGAAGCATAATCAAAATTTGTGCAAAACAAATTATTCTTAAAAAATATCATTAATTCTATTTAGGCATTGTTTGTTAAAACTAATAAGCTAATTTATTTGTTGGATACATGTTTGGATAATCATAAGCTAACTTATTTAAACATTATTTGAAGTAACATTTTGGGAGCTTATTTTGACTTTTTTCAGTTATAATCTTCATTAATATTGATAATTATTTATCACTATTGATAATAAATAAATATTAATTACTAATAAATATTAAATAAAAATAATTATTACCGTATTAATAAATATTAATGATGAAAATATAGCAAAATATTATATAAATCAAATCATAAACCATATTAACTTTTAACATAATCTTAAAATACTTACGTATAAAAAAGTAGACATACAAAAGCTTACTTGGATTGAAGTACAAGAAAGCAAGCCACTTAATAGAGTCGGGCAACAAACAAAACAACCGTTTGACAACGGTGAACAATAAATACTAGAGCTTACATGCTGATAACATGTTATAGAATAACTAAAAGAGAGTCGGGCAACGAACAAAACAACCGTTTGACAATGGTGAACAATAAATACTAGAGCTTACATGCTGATAACATGTTATAGAATAACTAAAAGAGAACAACAATAATGAATACGTAATTCTCATTAATGATAAGCCTTTTAGAGAAATGAGTTATAAATAGATAATTACGAAATATTTTAATTCTAGTTCACTATAATATATCAATCTATATCTGTATCTTCATATCTTTTAGACGATATCACACTTATTTATAACGAAAATAACAAAATTTAAAAATATTGAATGATGAAGGTCGCTGCAATCACAAAAAATTGAACCGGGTTTATGAAAATTCACGATGGAATCCGTTCCGCCAAATCCGTTGGATCCAACATGTATATATATAGTGAACCGTAACCTCTTTTTTTTCATGTAAACAGTCTGGTTTCCGCCATGAAACCTACCGTAGCCTTGCTGCTACTGTCATTCACACTCTTGTTTTCATTGTTTTCGGCTTTTCAATCCGACGAGCTTCTTGTGGACGATGAACAATTTGGTCTAGGAAAGCGCCCTTCCCCTGAACTCGACCTTTCGATATCATCATCGTCGCCTTCGATTCCTTCTCGTTCACATTCTCCTCCAAAACCCATTCGGAAGAGGTCTGCAGATTCTAATTCGGATTCTAGAGTTCAGTTCGCTCTAGAACACGCATTTGGAGATTCCGACGATTTCTCTACCGCCGGCACTTTCACTGCTCGCCTCAAGACTTATGGGGGACATGTAAGTCAAGTTGTATTTTTGATGCTCATATTGTTGTTTGATTGGATGATTAGGAGTATGGTGGCGAATTTGGGTTTTGCAACACCTCTTGAAATTTTCTTAAATTTTTGATGCTCATATAATTTTCTTTGAAATTTCGTCAAACCAAACACCTCTTAAATTTCATGGAAATCCATAGGTACTGTGAAAATGGCAACAACCATATTTGGCAAACAAATAAAAACTCTAGGTCCATCTGATATACAGTTCCCCTTTATAAAATTTGTACTCCAAATTATCTATTGGCAAAGGAACTAAGGAAGCCATAAAATGTTCCAAAGAGTATTGTTGCAGTTTTTGTTGGATTTTGCTGATCAATGTATATATTGTATCTTTGATTATTCTTTGAAATTCAAATAGTTCATATGAAATTGTAAGTAGAATTCAGTCTGCCTGACCTCACAATGAACCTTCATATTATAATTAATTAACACCACCCTCTTCGAGTTTGGATCTTTGTATTAACTGAAAAATGAGATTAATGGATTATTGGTAATTTCCGTGGAAGAAAAACACTGGTTTATTGTTGTTAGCTTAAAGTATCTGTGAATTATGTGGTTCCATTGTATTACCACTTGAAAAAAATGATGAATGCAAATAACAGTGAGCGACTATTCGGGGCTTTTGTGGGCTGGTGTGTCTGTGTAAGAAATTGAGATTCCTTTGGAGGGGGCTTAACTCCAAAAATCTGGAAACATTGCGTATGTCCTCCCGGAATTTTGTGATTAAACTTATTTGATTCCAGTTGGAGATAAATTAATTCATATATGTTTTGTGCTGAGCAATAGGATGCAAATCCACTTTGTCGGTCTGCGCATTATTTGACTTCGTATGGAGTGGGACTAATTATATACGAATCTTGGACTACTCTTACGAAATTTTGATAATTCAACATATGATTCCCGTGTTATGAAGAACCAAGTCAAACGTAATATTTTCATTCAAGTTTATACTAGCATTGTACCAAAATAAATGAGCCTTTGCTTGAATCATTAATGTTTAAGAAATTTGTAATATTATTTTGATGTCTAAACGTCAAGAAATCAATAACAATATAACAATCATATAGTTTCACATTCTCATCAAACATCTATTTTTTTGGTTGATATGGTAGTAGAAAAGTTGGTCTATCATGAGCATAGGTTGAATAGTAACTAGATAACTATGAAATTAATCAGGAAAGAGTTGTAAAATTTTGCTTGACCTTTTATTAAACATTAAAAAAACCAAGGAAAAGAATGTAAAATTGCAAAAGAAGGTAACAGACTAACAGGTAAGCATATCATCTATAAAGCTTGCTAGAAATTAACTCATGAGTCATCAGTCATCACAAACTGATGCCATCCTCAAAGATCAGGCCCTACCATTGAACACTTGTCTTTTTATACTCTCCTTTTAGATTATCACTTTGTTTGTGGGTTATCATCTTAAATGGCCACCTCATGGGAAAAATTTTATATTATAGCCACCATTTTATTTTTCTCACAAAATAGCCAAGAAACCGCAAGATACTTTTTCTTGCAGTGCCGCAAGCTGCGGTTTCTCAATTTATTTTTGCGTGGGCTCACTTTTCATCTGTGTGCGTCAGAAAATGTCAGAAACTGCAACGAGAAGTGCCTTGCGGCATTGACTTGTGGTTTCTTGGCTATTTCGTGAGAGAAACTTTGGAGGTGGCTAAAAAGTCAACCTTTCCCCCATTTGGTTATTTTATGATGATAACCCATTACCCTATACTCTTTGTTATGACTTGAAACTTGGCATGCTCATATATTCAGTACATTTATGCTTTTGTTCTTTGGGACACTACTTTTGTTATGCTTAGAAAGCTATTAATTTGACAAGTTTCTTTCTGGTTGACATCTTTTGCCTAAAGGGAACTCTTACAAAGCTTAGATTCACAAGGAACGATCTTAGCACAATAGAGCAGGAGAAGTTCAAAGTAATTCTTCATCAATATCTCATCTTGTGCCCTTTTTTGTTTGTGCTTTACTAGTTTTATGAGTTATCTTCTGCTTGATGTTTGGTTGCTGCAGAAACTACTAGAAAATGATGACTTCTACACGATAAGGGTACCATCAGACGTATTAAATCCTCCTGGCAGGGATTATGTTATCTCCTCAGTAAAGGCGGTAAGTTTGAAAATAGACATTAATTTATATTTTTTTCTCTTACATTTGTTAGCCAAAATGAATAGCATGTTGGTCAACTATCAATAGCAAGTCAGCAACAACACATCAGGTGGAGAGTTAGGAGAAGAACAACCGGGTGAGAGTACTCTCAAACAGAATCTAGACTGAATGGGGATGAACTGAATAAGTGTTAAAATTCTGGATGCAACAGACTCACTGTCTTATATTGATTGGAATAGAATAATCAAACAACATTATGTATCTATTAATGGATAGGTGTTGTCGTTAGTGGAAGTGAAACTCTCGCATGATACCAAGTTGCACATGTGCTTTTTGATATGTTATTTTTAAAGAAACTATGTAAGGTAAATACTACTAAATAAAAAAAGGAGCAATAACGCCCGCTTGATAAAACAAGAGGGAAGCTATTGCTCCTTTTTTAGTTCAAAAACTCCTATACAATCAGACCAAAGTCTTATCCATTTGTAGATGGAGCTTCGATAGCAGCTAAGTCTAGAGGGAAATTATGAGCATTACATTCATGCATAACTTCCATACCAAAGAAATAGAGAATCCATATCAAAGAAAGGTATAACTCTTGGAATAGTCGTATCCATTGCTATTTGATCTATTGTGGTTAGTAAGATCGGTGAATTAGGTGAAGGTACGGAAAGAGAGGGATTCGAACCCTCGGTAAGCAAAAGCCTACATAGCAGTTCCAATGCTACGCCTTCAACCACTCGGCCATCTCTCCTACATAATGATTATGACCCAAAAACCGAAAACCGAGTCAATAGTGAATCATTCATATTAGATTATTGGGTAGGTACAACCAATTAATTCTAACTATAAAAGCGATAAAAATTGAAAATTTTTCATCATAGTAAAAGCAGGATCTTTCCTTCTAGGCTGGAGGGATAAAGAGAACATTGTTCATACGGTTCTAAAAAGATAATCCATGTGTAGATTCCAATACTCTTTTCTTTTTCCACAACAAGTTCCTATAACTTTTATGTTTTCTCACATACATATGGCGTATATATGCATATGTATAGGCACGACCACCTTAGGGCCATGGTAAACCCAAACTCACCCTCACATTTAAAAAAGAGTCAAACTTCATATTTGTTAACCCTCCTACAAGGAATTCATCCTCTTTATTTCGGTAACATTTTAATGTTCCCATTTAAGAAAAAATCGTGTTAAAGCAACATTTTTTAGTGATTAATTGGAACAAAGACCCAACTGTTAATTGATTTGCTTTATTGCTTATGTCATTTCTTTTATTTATTTATATGCTTCTTTTTAAATGTAATGAGGTTTATCTATGTTGATACATTCATATGTCTATAATACGGTATATATGATTGTCTGTCAGTTGGTCAAATGGTAGCTTCTCTTTCAGATTCGTACTTGTTGTGACACATTTTTTTTGTAATGCTAATTGCTCTACTGGGTTGACTGATGTTTCTATTTACTTTCAGAGGTGTCTCCCAAATGATGGCTTGGATGAGAATTTTATCATACACATGGTAATTCTTCTTTCCAGTAATCAGAGAAAAATGTCAACCCCTAAAAGTAAAAGTTATACATCCGCTTGTTCATCATTATTAGCAATTATTTATTTTCTATCTACATTTCGTTGGTTTTCAGTTACTGAATGATAGTTAGCTATTTGATTATGCCAACTTGATTTTTTTAATGTACGTGCATCTTCTATTATGAATTGTGCAACACTCTGCACATTACTTATTATGTTATTCGGTAATTAAGATTTCACTTTCAGTTATTTTCTGTTGTAACGGTCTATTTTTTTGGATTAATTTGAAAGAACAGAGTCATTGCAATCAATGAATTTTTCCTCTTATCAATTTTAGATTGTTATTACAATGTCTTCTGAATGAAAATCTGTTTTGTTACGTCCTTGTAGATTCGATACTGGTTCTTACCTTCATATTACTTGCTAATCGACTGCTGAGACAAGTGTATACTTGCGCCGATCTTTGTTTGATGTAAAATGCTAAAGCGTAATCTAATTCTATCATCTATCCTATGTTGAACATCATCATCAATAATTTCATCATTCTTTTTAATAGTGATCCCAAATAGCAAATAATATCCTTCCTAATCCTTGGTATCAGACTACGGTAATAGGAAAGACACATGCCTTATTCCCAACATGTTTTCACGCTCAGTTACTACATGATTGCTTATCATATTAACATACTTTTAGTGACTTTCTTGGTCTCAAGATCATGCCACATGCTCTTCTTGACACCCTATTCTATGCTTCTATAAGTTATAAACGCCATAATATTTTTGTCTCCTCTCTCTCTCCAAAAGTTGCATAGTCGAGAAAATAGTGTGTTGTTCCCTTACAATGCTATTTCTGTGTATCCCATATCTTCATGAATTCATTCATATGCTTCATGTATCTGATATGCATATGGTTTTCACATTGTAGTATGCCAATTTCATCTGAACTACTATGCAAATTATGGGTTGTTTCATGGTAGTTTTCAATGATTAAGAGCATATGATTAAAAGATGAATCAAATGCATCTACACAACCCACTTTTTGGAACTTATATAAAACACTTATCTGCTCAGTAGAACCTTTTGATGTGATCTTATTTATGTTGTTATCCCTCAATAGTTGAGTGTAAACGATCTGAATTTCCTCTACCTTATGATGTGATCTTATGTCTATTGTTACTCTCTCAATAGTTGATGTGATCACCTGCCAAGTCAAATTGTTGAAAACTACTTCATGATCTTCCTCTTTCTCCATATACTGAATGACGATGATTCTTTATTATGGTAGGAAGGTGTCAATATTTTGGCTGTTAATTACGGTTCTCCTTGGGCTTGTGGATATCACCGGCAATTGAGACTTGTAAGTTTGCACAAGCTGTTTGATTGGTTTTCATTAAATAGATAAAGCTGTCTGTGTTGATTAATCTGTCGGTATACGTTGTGAAGGTTTTTGTTTGGGAGGGTTTATTCATAGATGGAAGGAGCATGTTTTTTAATTTGGAGGGGCAGGTTTGGAGAAAAACTTGACTTTCTGCATACAGCTCTTTTTTAGAAGCTTACTGAATAAGCCACTTTCTATACTACGCCACTACCAAACAGTCATGTATAACTGACAAAATAAGCTTTTAGTCCCATTAAGCTTATTAAGCTGAAAACAAACAGGCCCTTACATTTTTTTTCAGTAGTGGACCAACATGTAGAGACAAGGTGACCTCTGTTGGTTGTCCTTACACGATACTTCAAACTCTTAAACATTAGGGACTTCCAATAGCTGAACCTTTTTTGGGTCTTTCCCAACATCTTCATCCTGCTTGTGGCTGAATGATCTTAGAATATCTTATGGTGGGTAATCTTTTGGTCTTCTTTCTTTGAATGGCCTTAAGAGATGTTCATGGATATATACACAATCAGAGTACTTTGTTAGGATATCACTTATAATCTAACTAGAAAGTGAAACGCTAGTCATTTATGGTTGGCTAACAGAACATCAAAGTTTTAGGGATTTTGGGCAATTACTTATTTTGGACTTTTGCCCTTACTATGACATCTATGCCTACGTCATACTGCTTGAAGACAATTTACAAAATCTTTTGTTTGACGAGCTGTTATAGATAGCCATTAGACCGTTGCACTCGGATAGTTGGATGTTACAGTTCTTCGACTGCTTTTTAGGAGCATAATTGAAGAACTATTCAGGAAGAACGTGTGTATATTTATAAATATGTGTAGTTATCTAGCATTATCTTTTATATGTCCGTTTTCGTTTACATTTCAGCCTGCAAAGTGGTCCTTCAACTCTCATGCAGTCTTAAAGTACAGTGAACAGGCACCAAGGTCAAGTTTTCATCTTCTGTTCAATGTCTTCATTTTCATCTCATCGAAAAGTTATGTTTCATAGATTATACTAGTTCCAAAGGGAATGTGCTACACTTACTTACACAAACACATGTCATGCTTAATAATCTCTATACTAATGTTTGAAAGTTGTTTTTCTGCAACTCATACAGGAGGCCAATGTTTTCTGAAGATATCGGTAGTGGTGAGATGGGAGAGGATGAAGGTGTAAAGCCACTAGAAAAGCCCTTCTGGGCTAAATATGTGAGTGGTCTAGTCAACACATTCAGGGGTTGCTTGGTTGAGGAGGGTAATAGGATTTGGGGAATGGAAATGGGAATCATTACCGTTGTCTTGTTTGATTAATGGAACGAGGTCATTTCTGGGTAATGAAACATTCCTCAACAAATTGGGGAAATGAAATTCATTTCCATTTCCTAACATCATTCCGGTGAAAGGGTCAATGGCCCAGCGCCACCCGTGTTAACAGAAGATCCCAACCTCCTTGGAGGTTAAGTGTATATATGTTATATACATGAAAAACATTCTCATTCCCATTTCCATTCCTCTTCCCATGAAATGAACCAAGCGCTTCCTCAATGCTATGCTTTTCATTTCAATTCGATTATTTGCAAACTAATTGTTTATGATGTATTCGATCTTATTTCAGTGGATGTACTTTATTCCGCTTGTAATTATTGTGGTGAATGCTTTCACCCAAGCAATGAATATGCCTGAGGAACAAGCAAGTGCCCAAACACAGCAGCCAGTTGGTGCAGCCATGCAAAGACGATGATGGCAGTTTTCAGGTTTAGCTTTTGGCTTTATTCTAAAAAAACACGTAGTTTTTCATATTTTTTGTCAGTAGTAAATTTCATTTGTGCGTTTTAGGGCTATCTTTGTGCTATATGAAGGTAGGAGTCTAGTTAGTTGCATAGTTATATAACCATTTGCAGCTCTTCTCATCTCATATCATTTTGAGTTAGAATTCAGATTTTGGAGAGTTTGTTATTATGATTAGAGTTTTGTTGGATTTGGCCAGCCACCTTCCCTTGAATTAGGTAAAATAATGGGTTTTTTTTGCCATTCTTGTTTTGCCTCATATCTAAGTCCTGTTTCATGTTTGATTTGTACATCCCTTTTTTTCTCTATATTCATTTAATAGGCTAATATTTGATAAATGTCGGATGACTAAGGTTTAGGAGAAAACCATAAAAAATGGAAAACTGAGGAACACCCAATAAACCATTCATACGTACAACATGCACATGTGCATAAGAGTAATTGAAAATGTTTCCTATTTTGCACGTGCGCATTTTATGCACAAGTGCATACTAGACAAATTACTTTTATGTATAGTGATTCGAGAAAACAAAACCGAACAAAAAAACCTATACTAACAATGAAAAATATCAAGCTTTTTCATTTTTAATTTGATGAAGCTTACAAGAATATAATAGAACAAACACAATACTAACATCAACAATACTATAAAAGGAGCAACAAAGATGTAAGAATTGAATACAACAACACTGTACCACAACTTTCACAAGAGTAATGCCTGGTTGGTTTGAGCTTGGCTTCAAAAATCAAAAGTGTTTGGAGGTTCCAGGTTTAAATCCAAGAAGGAACAAAAATCTCCTTGTAGCCATATAGGTCCAAATGCGGTGGGCTACCTGCAAAGCAGGTGGTTGCTCTGAAATTAGTCAGTTCGCATAGCGGATTGGATATCCAGGTTAATTAAAAAAACACTTTCACATATCCACCATTTTCAGAAAACACAAAACCATACTTTTGAATATGGAAATACGATAATAACAACTCACGTCCAAACCAAACTCATTTAAGAAAACTATCCACCGTTAAAAACAACAACAAAACTATACTTTTTATTTAAAAAAAAACATACGAGGAAATATGGGTTATTATCGTAAATAGCCATTTGGGAAAAATGGGTTATTTTTTAACCCCCTTCAATTTTCTTTTATAAAATAACCAAAAAACCACAAGTTAATGATGCAACACATTGTTTCTTACGGTTTCTGATATTTTCTGATGCATCCAATTGAAAATTGTGTCCACTGTAAAAATAAATTGAGATACCGCAGCTTGTGGCATCGCAAGGAAATAAGTGAAACACAAAGCAACGAAAAGTGCCGCTTGCGGCAACTCATGGCACTCCAATCCAAAGACATGGAGCTTGCTGAACCAACAACTTTTACAAAAAATATACCACAAATTTCACTATTTGAAGCAGTTTCAATTGAACATAAATAACAAGAAAAATCAAAGCAGAATTAGAACAAAAACAAGCAAACTAAACTCATCTGAGCATAAAAAAAATAAGCCATCCATTTAAACAACAAAGACAACAAGATACCATATGCTGTAAAAAGTTAGATGCATAGTAATAAATTAACTGATAATTGATAAAGAAGTTAAATTTAATAAAAACTAATTAAATAAGTAGATGATAATGTAAAATAACGTAACGTAGAATATAACATAATTCATTTATGAGATAAAAGACAAAACATATTTTATCTTAGGGAAAAGTCTAAAAACTCCAATGAACTTTAGTGTTTGGAATGATTAAGTCATTGGACAACTTTTTGGAACAAATAAGTCCTTAAACATTTCAAAATTTGTTAAATAACTCATTGGACTTTCTAAAACTTGTTAGATACATTCTTATGACCTATACAACTGGTTAATATGGTAAAATAATGGAAAATGATTGAAAAAGAGACAAAGGACTTTTATATTTTGAACGATTAAGTCCATAAACATTTTTTGAACAAAAAAAGTACTTACATCTATTGATGGGCAAACCAGCCCGGGACCGCCGGAGGACCGGAACCAGGATCGGTTATAGGACCACTGACTGGTACCAGTTGCAGTTTTGGAGGGCTTCGAGGGACCGGCCCGACCGGGCCCGGTTTTCAAAAAAATAGCCGTTAATATGACTGTTTTTTCCAAGTTTATGACCGTTTTTTGGTCTTTTTTGCCTTCTAAACCCTATATATAAGTGTCATGGAGTATGGATTTACATACCAACTTACAAAACGCAAAAAAAAAAACGTTCACAATTCTCGGTTTCTCACTATATTTTGTGACTTTGACTCGTATACCTTTTTCGCTTCCACTTCACATTTTCATTTCTTTCTCTCTTTGTCTTACAAAATGGTCGGTGAACAACATGATGCATCAAAGAACAAGTTACCCAAGTTCTCGCCGAACACGGACGAAAGTGCGAGATTTGGAATTCATACAACTTGATGATCCTCACGAATGGGAAAAGAAAGGCATAATGCAAAATGTACCAAGTTCTCCTTACGGCGGAAGAAAATTATACTTTAAGGCGGCACACCAAAAAATGTGCCCGGGGTTGAGGTCAGGAGCGATTTAAGCCAACCGATACTTGACACTGAAGGTCAAATATGGTCGTTTGATGCCGAGTTGAACCGACAAATGACAACACAATGTCAAGTTGAACCGACAAGTCGGGTTGCCTTTCAGACATTTCGACAACCCTCACATTACGAAGTTGATCCAAAAAACACTACAACCATGATACATGTCAGTAAGTCGTCAAACCTTTAGACATGATGCAATTAAAATGTGGAAAATGTGTGGAGGTGAAATGCAAAAAATGTTTTCTCTTTTGTTTAACAACATTTCTTTTAACGTGTGATGTATCGAGCCACCATATGGACTGTCGATTTCTTATATATGCATAACGGCATATTGGATTGAGCCACAATTGTGACACATATTCAAACGTGTAATCGCGTTTGAACCGTTTAGTGCGCCACGTTCAGGTGCACGTCAATTTTCAATTATTAAAGAATGTCTTGTATTTTATAATTTAACTACTAAAATAATTAGCATTTCATTTGATAATGCTAGTAATAACAATCTATGTGTGGAAAAGTTAAATTGTCATTTGCAACTATTTTAAACGGTAAATTATTTCATACATGTTGTTGTGCACACATAATAAATTTAGCCATTCAAGACAGTTTAAATATTTGTAAACTTGTAATAGATAAATTTAGACTTATATTGCGACAAATTTTCACACAGAGTAAGAAAATGAACGCGGAATATAGAAAATATTGCGATTTAAAGCTTTGGGATCGAGGTTCGATATGTCCGTTCGATAGAATTCGACTTATTTTATAATTGAAAATTGATAAAACAAAAAAAATTATTTTTTCATTTTATAAACACCATTACCCGCAAAATTCTATTGGGAATCTTGATTGGGCCATGGTTGAAGGATTGTACAATATTATAGATGATTTTAAAATTGCGACAACATTTTTATCCGGTATTTATTATCCAACAAGCCCTGCACATTTAAATCGATTATATATTTTGACAAATAGAATTGCATAATACGAAGACCATCGCGATTGGGGTTGGAAAAAAATGTTAAAATATTTTATGAGCATCCCATTTGCTTTTCTTTGTGTTGCGACATTAAACCCGTATTTAAATGTTATCGATGTTGAAGTTTTAATTACACAAATATGTGCGGCATTTGGTTTAGATACGACTACGGATAATTCTTTTTCAACAGACCAAAAAACGTTTGTTTAATCATAATTTTGAACATTTATTTGATCATTATAAACATTTTTATGATGGAGGAAACCAATAACAAAGCTCTTCAAGTCATGGATTTGCAGGTTCTAGTTCTTTTAGTGGTCATCGCCAAGGTCAGGAAGAGTTGATGACTAATTTAATTAAGGATGTTTTAAATGAATCAACTAAAAAAAGTAGATTTGATAACGATTTGGGTGAACTAGTGTTGGGTTTGAGTTTTTGTGCTCAGGTGTTGTATTCAATCTTGTTTTTCCTTTGTAATTTTGTATTGTATTTGTCTGATAAATAGGTTTTGCTTTTGTAATCTTAGTGTGAGTTTAGGAGAATCTTTTTGTGAAGATACTTTCATTGTCTAATCATTGTTGGTGTAATTCACTTTGAAGATCAATAATGAAGATTTAGATTCTCTCTAAATTTCTTCTATTTTCAAGATTCTTAATTTGCCATTTTGGTGTTTTTGATCATTCATGAAGATTGATTAAACAATCTGGGATTTTCAACTATATATGTATGTGCATACTGACTTTATGGCTGCAAGTTCCGCAAATGATGTCGAAAATTTTGAAAATTTTGATCTATTAGATTTTTGGAAACAAAAGCAACCTCATTTCCTGGTTTTGGCATGCATATCACGTGATATATTAACAATCCAAGTTAATATTAGCTTCGGAGTCCGCCTTTTCTCTTAGTGGTAGGATTATTTCGATACGTTGGACAAGACTAAGCCCGAAGTCCATGGAGTGTTGCATCTTGAAGGATTACTGTGATAACGTTGATAGAATCCAACACACGACATCGTTAGAGGTGGAGATTGAAACGGTTGAAGAAAATTTGAAAAAAAAAAAATGAAATCGCCATGGGACTAAGCACGCCGCCAATTACCGATACCGACGTCACTTACGTACAATATGACAATTATGAGGAACTCGACATTGATGACCAAAAGACTATTAAAAGAATTCAAGAGACTGGAACTCTTCAAATCAATCCGACATGGGATACCAATGATGAATAAGTTTATTTTCAAATAATTGAATATTTGAATGTAATTTTAATTATAATAAAACACATTTTAAAAATGTATTTAAGTGACAAAATTACAAATTTTATAACGTATTCAAAAAATCTATCATTATAAAAGTTTAAAAAAATTATTATTTTTTGGGTAGTGACTGAGATCAGCTACACGTAACCGGTTATAGGACAGGTTAACCGGGCTTGAGATTTTCAACCGAGACCGGCTTCGACACGAATTGAGACCGATTTTTGACCATTACTACTTACATCTATAAAATGGAACAAATATATCAAAAAACACCTACATTTAAAAATGATTATTGATGAATTTTATTTTAATTAAAAATAAAATATATTTCGTATGTAATTTTTCAAATTAAAAAAATAAAAATAAATTTAAAAAATATTACCGATGAAATTTATTTTAATTAAAAATAAAATATATTCCGTTGATAATTTTTTCAAAAAATTAGAAAATATTTTGATTAAATTACTGACGGATTAACGATAAAATTTAACTAAATACATAATTAATTAAAATTCGTCGCCAATTTTTATAATTTAACTTGTTTTAATTTGATTAAAAACTTAATCATTCAAAATATGAAAGTCTATTAGTTTTTTTAGACATTTTTTATTATTCTACCATATTAACCAGTTTTATATGTAATAAAAATATATATAATAAAGTTTAAAATTAATAAATTATTTAACATGTTTTGAAATAAAAAAAAAACTTGTTGGTTTCAAAAAATTAGGTCAAAACATAAGTAGCCGTTGGGAATTTTCTTTTTATAACACCTTGGTAGCGCTGTGCCTCCACAGCCAACTACGGGAAAGAGAAGAGAAACTAGGGTTACAACAGATACAGCCGCAACTAGAGCTAATGCCGATTCTAGAGAGAGATGAGTATGACGATTATAAGTTTCTTCGCATTGTAGATGCCATGGCTTCAATCAATCAAAAAGTTAACCTCATTGGTGTTGTCATCGAGACCGGTCTGCCCAAGAAAAGCAAAGGCACTGGTGCGTTTGCATTATTTGTGTCAAATGTTTTCTTCTTGATATCTTTTTGTTTCAAATCGTGACGATATTTTCTTTCACTTTTCGTTCTAATTTTCTTCAAAATATATTGGGAAACGAGGTTGCATTTTCCAAAAGCGCCATTAGTTTTCGAGTTGCAGACCTTGTTAATTTTGGTTTGGTTGAAACTCCCATATCTTTTTAACTGGCAATGATGAAAAAAAGGCCGGACTTACAGCTGCCACCCTAGTGGTTGGTAGTAGAATGATGAGAAGTTCTATAAGGTTATTTCTGAGCTAGTGTTTTTTTTTTTTTAAATTTCTCAAAACGTGACGAATTTAAATCTTTGTGCTTTCTCTTCTAATTGTTTCAATTGAAGTGCTGTTTGGTTCATAGTATTCGAAGGAATTGGAATGGCCAATTCCTTTGACGAAATTCCATTTCTTTGTTTGGTTCGTTTTATATTGGTTGGAATCTTTAAACTCCTTTGGATTTCACTGATCACAGATTTCTTCATTCCGTGAGGTGTAGTCTAGAATGTAAATTCCATTCCGTGCTCTCTTTTGAGAAAAACAATATTACCCTTCAGGGTTGTGGCCATGTGGGATTATCTCTGGAATGGTCATCAAATTGATGAATTAATTTTATCTTCTGGATAAATGATGTGCATTTAATAATTTGGCCTGGTAAAATCAGATGCTGATCCAGAAATTTTGGTGATAGGGGGCACAATTTAAAATCTGGCCACTCATCTGTCTAGAACAACCGTGTAACAACTGTTTAACAAGTCATGGATCAAATATATTGGGTCCGGTCATTTTGACACAAAGGAAGCCAACAACTTTTTCTCCTTTCTATTAGGTGTATGAATTGTTCTCGTGTTCATGTTGAGGAATTTTAGTGGAAGTTTATGAGTATATAAGTGCAAACTTCAAGCTAAGTGTTGCCTTAGAAGTTTGTTTGATACTTTTAGTTTGAAGTTTAGGAGTATATGTCTTGCAAGGACTACAAAATTTAGAACAACTAGCAATTAGGCACCAGAGAAAACAATCAGGCATATTGCTCAATAAGATGCATATTGAAAACCAACAGTTACCAATTAACAAAAATAAATTGATTTTCAACAAACCCTAACTTAAGAAACAAAATTTTCTAGTTAGCAAACCGTGACAGTTTATTATAAACCGAAAAAACAAACAAACAATAAACATAAATAACACTCATATTTAAGAAATGTAAAAAATAAAGAAAAGCCCTAAAACTAAAGTATAGCTTTGATGCATATCTTCTAGAGGTGAAAGGTTGGTGGCAATATGGCCCCTCAGCCCCCTACCCGTCAAGGGTAAATCCGCCCATGTGTAAAATGCCCCACGTTCCCAACTCCTGTCAGCAATGTGTTTCATAAGTGGCTGCTGCTTCTTTGTTTAAAATTAAGTTATATCTATTTGTAGAAAGTGGGAGATGCAGCTGCACATATAACGTACAAAGTTATATGCTCAGACAACTTCCTAAACAGAACGGCTGTACCAAGCTGTATTAATTGTGTACACTGTAGTATAACAGCTTCTCATTCTTCTGGCTATTCTTTTGCGCCTGCTGTAATCATTCTTCTTTCCAAGTTTTGGTCCTTATACTTGTAGATTGATCCATTATTAGTTTTTTGGTTTATTTATTGATCATCTGTAGATTGTGTTTGGACACTAAAGATTGTTGATGAATCACATCCAAGCCCTGGGATCTCCGTTAATGTTTTTGCTGAAAATTTTGAAAAGCTTCCACGTGTCGAGTCAGCTGGTGACATTGTTCAGCTTTCACATGTTGTGGTATTTGTTTCCATCCGTTGCCTTACTAATGCCATCCAAGTTAATCTTGTCTGTTGGTTTTTTTATTTTTAATATTCTAATGTTAGTCTTTAGTGCTTGTATAAATCTCATGTTTATTGCTCTTTTTTTGGTGTCACTATGGAGGCAAGCAAAGGATTATTATTGTTAATTTTTTGTGGTACTTGTATAGTAAGTCAATTGAAGGGTAATTATTTTCGGAGACAGACAAGTTTCGTATTATAATCTTACAGAAAATAGTAGCTTTTGAATTAATTATTGGCAAAATAAATATGAGCCCACATTACCGTAGTTCACAATAATGCATCTTGGTTTCGGCAATAGTAATCGTCATTTATGTAAAACGGTTTGATTGCCAATACTTTTTGCTATCCAAGTTTTCCTTACGTTATTATTGCAACTTCTTTATATTGATGCACTGTATCTGTTAGGCTGGCTTTTGAAGTTGCTTTCTAATTTCATATTAATTTATGTCAATTGTCAACTCTCAAATTTTCCTGGCCTCGATCAATAGCCCGGTGGATACGATGGGGCTCGTCTAGTTGGTTTGCCTTGAAATGATACATTGATAGGGTGATTAATGAGGTGCACTAAGCTTTGAATGGGTTTGGGAATAGTCTCTCTAGAAGATACGGAAAAATAAATATTAAAGCGGGTTAAAGTACACTTCATTCATGAAAATTCATTTGAGTGCTTCTTTTATCCTATTGTTCGGGGTTGTGTGGTCGCCCATTGTATTTTGTTATACCCTAGATTGTTGCGAGTACAAATGCTTAATGCGTAAATGGTACAAGTAGGTAAGGCTTGGGGTTTAGTATAAATAAGTGGGTTGAGGAGCATAAAGTGGTATTCTGTTTTGTGTCAACTTGGACATGAGTTTTTAGGAGAGCTTATGGCCTCTCGAAAGGCAGAAAACAACTTCTGTAATCAATTGGTTGTGAATGGTTGATTTCAATTTTACCCACTAATTCTGCTATTATTAGAGGGAGATCGAACCTGGAGATGTCGAGGACAATTGTTTCATGTGTACGGAGTTGGATGGTAGCATTATCAGTTATGTCCATAAGGGTGTGAAATCATTGAAGGAAGATTTCAAATCCTTGAGGAAGGATATGGAGACCTTGAACAAGGTGATGAACAAGCTAATCAGAATATATGAAGAACCACTAAAGAAGAGGACCCCCACATTTGAAATAGAAGAAGATGATGAGAGGGTTCAGTTTTTTTGCAGTGTAAAGAGGGAGAAGAGAGAAGAAAGAAAAAGAGAAGTTACAAAGAAGAGGGTCTTGTTCGGCAAGCCTGATGATGAACGTTTAGATCCATCTACATACGGTCAAATCTGGATTCGGGGAAAACAATACCTCCACCCCCGTTGTCTCTCTCTTCCTCAATGGAACATTACGCTCTTGAAATCGCACCAGCATCGACGAAAAACATGGATGTTGGAGAACCACCACCAGTACAGCGACCTTTATCGCTACCGCTAAACCCTCAACCATCGCTAAATCCTCAGCCGTTGTCATCGCCCGTATGTCCTCCATCGTCCAAAGGGACGAATGTCTTGTCCGCCATGAAGATCCAGTCCAAGAATGGAAGGATTCAGAAGTCGCCTAAGCACACTCTAGTAATTCCCAAGCCCAACGAAGTCACTGGAAATTGGCCCAAACCCATTATAGAATTAAATTGATTGAACGAACCCATGTCTAATTTAACGTCTATGTCGTTACAAAGAGTTTGGTTTAGCCATGATTATTGGAAATTGCTGCCGCTGCTACCACCCTATCTATTGCTGCTGAAGTTGCTACCACCCCCAATGCTGTTGTCTCTGATATTACCTCCCTTACTCGTGCCGCAACCCCACCAACATATGGCTCCTTCGGGTGGAAAAACAACAACGAGACCACCACCACTTAACATTTATCAGTTGGTCCGAGTACTAAAATGACAACGACAATTCAGAAGCTACGTTCTACACATCTCTTCTACACAAATAGAGAGAAGGTTATGGGAGAGAAGAAGATGGGAACCGACTCACGGCAGAGAAACAAGGGGAATGATTTAGAGAAGCCTGAATTGAGGGAGCTGCGGCTGTTGCCATGCTCCGACAGCCTTGAGTGATTTATTTGCGATTTTAGGCCGGACATTATTCAGCATCACAGGTTGCAATTAGTATATCTGGTGAGAACAAATTCATTGCAGCTTATTGGGGAATCTGGGTTTTTTCTCGTTGTTATGAAACGTTTCTTCAGCTAATGCCAAGCACTCCTAGGTGGCCTGTTGCTGCTGATGGAGTTGGTGTATGTATTGAGGTAGTTGCTCAATATGAAATTGCAGCCATTGGTCTTGCTCTTCTACTTCATCCTCTAACAACCATGGAGGAACATATTGATGGAGGCCTCCGCGTTTCAGGGACTTATGCAAGAAACGTCCATAATTATCACCCCACTGTTAATTAGAGTGCCACACAAGGACTTCTTTGACTCTTAGATGTACCATCATTATAGGCTTTAGAAGCTTTTGATGTTCAATTGGTGGAGTTGCTTATAGTAGCGTAAGACTATTTGCCTCGGAGGAATGGGATGCATTTGCACTTCTTAAGGTGCAACTAGAACAAAAATGTCTATGAGAAGAGGTAATGTAGCACATTATGTAGTTCTACTTATCCTGACATTCACACGCCCTGCTTGGATTTTCTTTCCTCTTAGACGAGTGGACAAAATTGAAGTCCAACATGAACCTATGATTGGTTATGTTTCAAACCATGTGAAACATAGGACTCAATCTCACAGTGAAAGTCAAATGCTAGTGGCTATGACAACTATTGAAGCTACTTGTAAAGTTCTTAAAGAAATTGTTGCAACCCCTTTGCAACCTCCTATTTTATTATGGGATCTATACATCATTTCTCTCCTTATGGGTTCAAAAATATTGTCTTTATGAAAGTCCATACGAAGAACAACTTCGGGTGGGTAAGGAATCAAGAGGTGACGATAGTTTTCCTCATATGAGTAAGGAAAGTAAGCATCGTCTGGGAAGCAGGGGAAACTTGGGGGGAAAGGGTAGGAAGAAACAAGGATCTGTTATAGTCTTTGATTCATATGGTCTAGCAACATTTGTACTTTTGACGGTGAATTTCCGCTCTTCACTTTGATGTAAAGAGGAAGTATCCATTCAAATTTGGAACCACCCAACACAACTTTTTCTTCCAAGGGGTTCTTGAATACTTTGGACTTTGTGCTTGTGATTCAAATTCTGTTAATCGTATTGTTTTGCTTATTTACCAAAGAAAGGCTGGCCGAGTGGGAGGAAGTGGAATTGGATCGGTTTGGTTCTCATAAGCAAAATGATGGTCATTTTTGGGGTTTGAAAGATGGTTTAAACTTTAAAGCAACATATTTTGACAACTTATTTGAAAAGTTTATTTTCAGTTGGAGGTTATAGGAGGGATCATGTAAAGTGGCAGAAGCAATATTTGTTCTTCTTTCTACCTTGAGGACAAAGTGGATGTTTGGGGGCGGGTATTGTTATACCCTAGGTTATTGCGAGTATTTACGCGTATATGGTACAAGTAGGTAAGGCTTGGGTTTAGTATAAATAAGTGGGGTGAGGAACATGATGGTTTAAAGCAATGGGTTTAGTATAAATAAGTAGGTAAGGCTTCGGGTTTGGATCGCTTTGGTTCTCATAAGCAAAATGATGGTCATTTTTGGGGTTCGAAAGATGGTTTTCTATAAACCAAACAGAGTTGAGCCTAAAAGGCTTTTCATATATTTTCTTGTTAATTATAAAACACAAAGCAAGGCTATTTATACAAAAGAAAGGATAGAGAAAATCTCTAAAAATAGAATGCTGGAAATCAGGGATGACACCATTAATTGACAGGATCCTCGAGATCTTTGATGTAATTATTGACAACTCCAGAAATTCTTCACTCCCCCGCAAGTTGGGTATGGAGGTTGATCATATCCAACTTGTATATCATTTTTTCGAACTTGCCCCCGGGTAAAGCTTTAGTAAGGACATCTACTACTTGAAGTTCATGTGGTACGAAGGAGATCTCAAGGGCTCTTGTTTCTATCTTCTCTCTGATAAGTGTCGATCTATCTTCACATGTTACATTCTATCGTGATGCACTGGATTTTTTGCAATTTCTATGGCTGTCTTCTTGTCGCATAGGAGCTTTTTTGGTTCTCTATTGAGAAGCCTTAGTTCCTTGAGAATCCTTTTAATCCCAATTCCTTCGCAAATCGCATGGCACATGGACCTTAATTCAACCTCAGTGCTGTTCCTGGAAACCACTTGTTGTTCTTACTTCTCCAGGTTACCAAATTTCCCCAAAAGTACAATAACTTGTTGTGGATCTTCCATCCTTCTTAAACCTCCCCACTCAGCATCCAGGGGCGGAACACAACTGTTGTAGTCCGGGGGCCGAAATATAAGAGCATCTTCAATAGATTTTCCAAAATTGAGAAAATGGAGATTTTAGGCATATTTTTGCTCCAACAGACTCTCCAAAATTCTCCAAATGGGAGAAAACATGATAGTGTAAACAAAAATTGATTACAATGAGAGAGAATCAATTTTTTTTATCATATTCACATCGATAAGAATATTTGATATTAATGGTTTATAGGTCACTGACATATCCTTTTTTGTCTTTATTTGACCTCAAGAATGGATTGGATCGAAACGACTTTCCTGCCAATGATTGGCTGGGGCGGGGAGCTCGAGCTCTGGTTTTAATAGAGTTTTAATAATCCATTTTGGAAATTTTTTGAAGAATATGTTGAAGATGTTATAATATTGTAAAAATTTGTAAATCCAAATGATTTGTTTTTAGACTATTAAATTTTAGAAAAAGATTGATAATGTAATATTAAAACTCGAAACATTCAAAGTATTAACAGGAAAATAGTAATACCAACTTAAACATTATTTACATATAATTAATATATTATATTATTTACTCTAAAAACTTAATT